ATGAAGCCAAACGGTATAATTTCTCTGTACAATATAGAACAACAAAATAACCTACTAGTAAATACAATCACATGACTACATTTCTGAAAACACAGAACTGGCATCCATAAGACAAAATAAAATTACAAAAGTAAACAGTACCAGGGAGTAGGATTGATCAATAAAACCCTGTGAACATTCCATCCTATAAATAAACTGTCAGCCCAAACCCGTGGGCCAGAAACACATTCAATACTGCAGATACCTTTCATAATGAAATGTGAATGGTTTTTCTCAAGTAGGCATTAAAAAAAATGGCACTTATTTAGTTAACTCAAATATTTCAAATTTATCAACAAACAAAAATATTTCAAATTTATCAACAAACAATAACAACAAAAAAAGAAAAAATAAAGCCAAAAAAAGAAAAACAAAGCCAGAGCCCAAATCCGGTTATTTTTTTGAAACAATTTGCAAAACCCAAAAAATAAATGTAGTTGCAGAAATGGGGCTATTAGGTTTTAGCTGATAGTTGAAGAAGATAGAGCTACTCGGTTTTGGCTGATAATTGAAGAAGATAGAGCTGTTACATTTTAGCTGCTAGTTGAACAAAACCTTTTGTTATTTTAGTTACTTGAGTGGCTAATTTGTCTAAATTGCACATTGAAGGAAGGACGTCTGTAGCCATTTTGCTAATTGTGTTTTGGTATGGTAACTTAAAGCATCGATAGTAGGTGGATGGTATTGGTGTTATATGACTTAGAGACAAGGGATACTAATTTAAAATTTAATGCATTGAAGGTAGGTAGATGGTGTTGGTGTTATATGACCTAGGGACAAGAGATACTAATTTTAAAATTTCGATTGTAGTAAAACAAGAAGTTTTAAAAATACAAACCCTTCATCAGTTACAATAAATAATTAGTTTAAGTCCACAAGCTATACTTAACACAACTTTCAATAATTAAAAATCTAACTCTAAGTCTCTTTGCCCAAAATCCAACTCTACAGTGAGGAGGGAAGACGAGCGGCAAGAAGGCGACTGACTACTTGGCAAATGTTGAAGGCCAAACCGTCTAAAACCTCTCCAGGCTGAGGAGGAAGATGCGCCAGATTTTTGACCCGGATAAACGTAATTTCACGTTTCAGTCCTACCCGATAGATTTTTCCCCTTATAATTTTCAGGTAACTTGTTAGGAAGGAAGCACTCAGCAACGCCCACGTTGAAACTGATCATTGTTTTCACCCGTAGACGGGCGCCGTCTCAGTTTTTTTTATGGCGTCGATTAAAGGACCGCAACGGATCATCATGTTTGTTTGTGATGGTATTTTTTCATATAAAAAATATAAGAAACCGCCATGGCTTTCAAGATCTGTGTTGATTTTTAAGGCCCACAACAGACATAGCATATTCATAGCGGGACGAAACACTATATAATTTTGCCTATAAATATTTTTAAGAATTTTTCAAAAGTTTATGTACTTCCCCTATTGTAGAAACAGTGGTTGTCTACAAATAAACTATTTATCTTTTATACAAAAAAGTCACCATCATTATTGTCCTTCAGATTTCAAAGTGGTAGCTGTAAAAGTGTTATTGATTAAATACAATGTTTCAAAACAAAAATTTTAGGAGTTCATGACTCACCCCAAACCATCCAATTTGACTTCTAATGAGTGGGAATAGTTGTAACCTCTTTATATAAAAAGTAAATGATCTCTTTATAAACAATCCCATAAATATATACTTCTCTATCTATTTAGATCAAATGAGTTTAATCTAGTTCTAACGCTTTCGAGTATTTTATTTTTAGTTTTTTCCTAGGGAAAGTATCGCTAATATACTTAAATTTTAATGAAATTGAAAAAAAAAAAAAAAAGAAAAAAAAAGACCAACTTCTCAAAACCTTGCCCACACCTTTTATCTCATTTTTTGACCTTTTTTTGATGAAAATACCCTTTACGGTAGTCTTTATACCGTATTGCAGTTTGATCTTTACGGTAATTAAAATACCGTTACAAATTTAATTAGTATTACGGTATAAAAAATACCGTAATAGTTTGAAGTTATATTACAGTAAATTGATTACTGTAATATCTAATATACGTTTTACAATATTCTTAATACCGTAATGTATTTAAGTTTTACAAGTTGAATTAGTATTACGGTATAAAAAATACCGTAATAGTTTGAAGCAATATTACGGTATATCGAGTACCGTAATATCTAAACAACATAATTTTTTTTTTATGCTAAAAAGAACATAATATTTTGATGACATACCCAAAAATCAGTGTTGGTGTGTATATTTGATGCTCTCAGAGAGCTCGTTCAAAGATTAATAAATAAGATAATATGATAGAAAATAGATGAGAGAGATAAAAATGGATAAAAGTGCTAAACGATTTGTCAAAATAGGGTTTTATGAAAAAATTGGTAAAAAAAAAGTGAGAAATAATTACGGTAATTTTATTGCCGTGTAATTTGTGGAAGTATTACGGTACTTCAAGTACCGTAATTTAATGTAAAAACAATACGGTAATTAAATTACCATACAAATTATCCCCATTATTACGGTATATATGTTACCGTAAAGACCTTTCTAAACATTACGGTATTGAAATTACTGTAATGTTTTTTACGGTAAAAAGACTACTGTAAAGGGTATTTCCATCAAAAAAATGTCAAAAATTGGGGAAAAGGGTGTAGGTGAGGTTTTGGGAAGTTGGGGGTTATTTTTCCGATTTCATTAAATTTTAGGTATATTAGCGATAATTTTCCTTTTTTCTACAAATCATATGAATATGAAATTTAGTACCTGCCATCATCTCAATGGGGCACACTAAAACAAATATTAAAAAGATTTTTTTTGATAAAATATAAAGATCAAAATACCCATTGAAACGTTAAAGGTTATTTTATTTTATTGAGAATATATTTTTATATTTTTTACATGTGCGAATTTAAGAGAGGAGTGGACACCCAAACTAGTGACAAAATATTTTGTAGAAACAAATAAAAATAAAATAGTGTAGAGACCTGATATTGTGATTGGGACCATCTCAGCTGTCCATTCAGAATGGACAGTTGCATAATGGAAAGTATATAATTTGTATGCAATAGGAGAAGCATATAAAGCTTGCCCTTAAGGTAAGATTAATAGGTGTCATGCTTTTAAAAAAATGTCCGATTAAAATTTTCAAATGATGAAGTTTCTATATGGCCTGCGCTTAACGAAAACAAAATAAAGCCTCACCTCAAATACTCGTCCGAAAAGCACTTTCAGCAAGGACAATCTCCATAATGGCTCTAAAATCAATTTCCAACACCAACAATAAAATTTAACGCTAAAAAAAAAGTGTCCAGATCTTGTGGATGTATAAACGCTTATATTTAAGGCGAAATGGACGATCTAGATAATTTATTACAATATACACCATTTTAAGAGTTAAATCCTATTTTTTTCTCACAACCATAATGTTCAAGCCGAGATGATCAATGTAAAGGCTTTCCAACACTTGAATTGCAATTTTCGATGAGTTATAGGTGTGTCTTTACTTATATTTGATAGGGTGCAAACCTATCAAACCATTTTCCTTGTTCAAATAAAGTGAACAATATAGATTAGATTACTGCTACGTTTTACAAGTAAGGTTGCAATTTTATATAATTTTTTTTTTTTATGAAAATAGGGAAATGACCTTGTGAGACCTTCCCACACCCATGTGTGTAAAACTCCAAAGGATCACCGTTAAATTTGGTATAGATCTCTAGAAAAGTCAAGTCTCACACTCATGTGATAACTTTTCTATGGATTTATGACAAATTTAATAGTGATCCTTTGGGGTCCTGCACACATGGATGTGGGAGGATCTCATAAGATCATTACTTATAAAAATATACTGACATTATGAAAAAAGCTAAGAAATGATCGATAAATAAATGACCTTTACATATAAAACCCAGTAAAAATGTATATTTAAAAAGAGCGATGTATATTTAAAAAGAGCAGATGGTATACAATGAGACCATTTATCTTCTATAAGGAGGTCACAATTGCTACGAGCCATTAGATATCAAATTGGATGGCTTAAAATGTGTCACAAAGTTTGAATTTTTTTTTTTTTAAACTTCGAGTCCAATCAATGACACATTCACAACCATACGATTTAAAATCTGACGGACATAAGTGATTGTTACCTTATTGTATTAAAAGTATATGGTCTATGTAATATACTATTCCTAAAAAAGGGGTAAGATTTTAGTGAGTCAATTGACTCATTTATTTACATGAGTACTCCCCCAAAAAAAGATGTTGGATCTTTGTGATCAATTTTAAATCCAAAAATTTATGGACGAGAATCTCAACCATGGGAAACATGAATATAATAGAATGGAACATGAATATAAAAGACAATTACCCAAAAAAAACATGAATATAAAAGACGAATTAGATTTTAAAATAAACATAATATTTTTTACGTGCCTTTAACACTGTTCATTATAGGTTTGTGTTAGACAATTTAAGCTTCAAAATTTTTCTTTCGAGAATGATCATATCGTAATTCTTAAGTGGCTCCCAAAATTTCAACCAAAAAAAAATCCTCCCAAGTGACTGAGGGAATGGATGTAAACAATGCTAAGAGCATTATATACACCTTCACTCTCTAAAATCTTGAAAATATATGATTTAAATAAATTTTTAAAAGGTAAACCAATATTAGGACTTAGAAATTCATATATTTTTATCTTATAATTAGCCTAGATGATGAATTTGAAGGTTTTATAATCCCTAACTTCATTTTTCAGGCGGGGGTTTTACATACTTTACATTTTATCATGCCTAGGCCTTGCATAAACTTTTTATACACACATGTATACATATTGAGAGATGGAGAGGGGCAAGATGATTTTGCGTATGTAAACTACAATTTCGTTAAAAACACGAATAAACCAAGGCGCTTTATATGCGCACTAAGCTTATTTCACGTCCATTTTTTTTTGGGTGAACCCGTATAAATCACCACGTGAATACAATTTATTTTTTTATTTTTTCTAGTGTACCTGAATACAATTTATCTTACACTCCTGACCCAATCCAACAATACCATAATCCATCTCTCCGAATTAATAGTTCGTTTATGCATACAGCTTAAAAGAGTTGCTCTGTCATGCAACACAACCAGTGTCTTGAGGCCGAGCCACCGCTTGCCATCCTGTACAAACTTTGATGACATCCTTCAATGACTCAGTGGCTGGTTCCATGGTCCATTTGGGGTAGAACTCTTGGGGCTTGAATGCACATTTCTCAACATTCTCAATCATCAATCCAGATTGAGCAGCATTAAGGAACAGGTCACCCTCGGATCTTATCCCGCCACACATAGCATATTCTCTATCTGTTGCCTGTGAAAAAACCAGTTTCTCAACAATGAAATAAGGCCAAAGAACAGTTTCAAGCCTTCCTGAGTGAACTGAAATGAAGAGATCAGGTTTTCTAATTGAAGAATTTTAGAGATGGAACCGTTTTCCAATATTGCAAAGAGGATGTACCTTCTCCTCAAGATACTTGAATGCCATTTTCTTCTGTCCACCTTCATATATGTTGCATTGAGAGAAAACCTAAAACACAGAGAGAGTGCAAGTTAGGAAGGGGTATCATCAAACTCAAGTGAGCAAATCAAAGCACATATTGGAAAGAAACAGTTTCGACTATGGATCCCCCACCCCTCTCTCTCTGCTATAAGAAAGCAGTTTGAATAAGAGATTACTCTCTCTCTCTCT